ATAACGATTACTAAAAAAGGTTGTATTCACCCCCTTCACAATAAGAATCAACGATTAAAATGCGCATTTTGCCATAATTAATTTGAATAGGCCTTTCTCCTTATAAGTTCTACTATTTAGGAAGGATGGCAGTAGCGACCTTACAATAAATTTCAATATAAATCTACCATTTATTGTGCAGCATATTGTGTTTACAAGTTAATACGCTTCAGAACCACGGGTGCTAGAGTTTCAATGAGTACACGTTAGGTTTAAATATAGATGGACATCTCATATATCAATTTTATAATGTGGCCTGCAGTTCGCTTAATTGTTACAATATCTGCATCATGGTGGCTGATATTAGCTTTCATTAAGTTTTGTTAAAATGTCTGCCTTATCTGCAATTGATTCTTACTCTGTAAATGTAGTATCTCAACCAATTTCTAGGGTAACTTAACGACACAGACCACCTTCATAAAAAATTTTAATCTCAAATCAACTAAGATAAAAAACATCAAATATGTATGGAAGAGATTTCACAATATATTGTCCTATCCTCGCTGTAAGGTGTATTTAATTTAGACTTCTCGCTATAAAACATATATATATATATATACATTAAAAAAATATATTTTCATACGTAAGGTAATGGCTATATGAATAAATAAATTATAACAGGAAAGAATCAAGCATAGAAGTTCACATAAGTTTCTATCTTTATTTTTGCAACATTACAAATACATTTTTTATATCTTACTAATCTAAATAACTTTTATTTCATTAATTTCTAATTATTCACTTTTTTAAATCCGGTTTACAGGGCCGTTATTACAATATTACTGGTGATGTTCTTCTCAGCGCTGGAGTGGTCGCATACCTGGGAGCCTTTACAGTTGAATTTAGAGCTGGAATACAAGAAGAGTGGAATAAACTCTGTATTGAACTAAAGGTCCCATGCTCTGAGCAGTTTCGTATCGCTGATACTCTTGGTGAACCAATTAAATTTCGCCAATGGAATATTTGTGGTCTGCCAATCGATGCCTTCTCTACGGACAATGGGATAATTGTAACCAATTCGAATAGATGGTCACTCTGTATTGATCCACAGGGTATGCTCTTTTAAGCTGAATGCTAAATAACACATATAATATATCGACGTCTCGAAACTATACATAAAAACGAAAAATAAATAATTTAGTCGATTGTTGTAGCAAATATAAGTTTGCTTCATCGAAAATCCCACCATATAATGTGATATGGAAAAATGCCTGGCCTTCCTAGAAATTCGCATCTGCCATGTGACCTAAGAGCATTCGTGGTAATGTGGCTTAGTGGCTTATGTATCGAGATTATACGTTGCATTGTCAAGTTTCGACTAGCTGGGCTGTGGATAAGACCTGGACGAGATCGGAACACAAGTCCACTCTAAATGAGAATACCTTTTTGGAAGGAAGGCTACGTTAAATTCATTTGAAACGCATGGCCTACTCATACCAATACAAGTCCTTCATCAGCTTAAACAAAATAGGGTGAACACATCTCATACCTGATTTTCTGGTGGTCTCGAAGCCCAGCTTATAAACGAAAAGTTAAATAACACGACATGAAATTTATTCATGCTAAGGCTTACAGCAGTATTTTAGTTCAAGTAGCAGGTTAAATAGTTTTATATTTTCTAAATATTCTATATTGTATTTACACCGAGCTCATTAACATTGTTCAATTATAGAAAGTATATGATAACAAATTATCAAATGCATAATTTTATAACTATATAGATTTACACAAATATTGTTCTATCATGTGTTTAAAATTTTCACACTATTAAATTTGGGTTACTTCATATTATTAATGCTGAAATCACTCAGTTATTTAAGCCTTCTTCAATTATAATAGTGATATATTTGTGACTTATTCTCCTTGTATCAATTTATTCAGAGATCTTAGCCACGAAGCTGACACGGATCAACTCAAGTCTGTTTGTTACTTTGACTAAAATATAACAAGCAGAAATCAAGTATTGTAAATTGAACTTACCTGAACCTTATGTCTTTTTAGGTGTAATTTATGTTCTGATCACATTTTGGTTTCCTACCAAGTCGAAACCAGAAAAAGACCCTTAATTTGCCCAGATTCGTTCGCCTTTCATTCAACTTAGGTGCAGTCGGATAAGAAATAAAGCAATGAATGATTTAAATAGCTCTTAGTGGATATTTGCGTCAATAAGATAATAATATTGTTGGATGAAGTATAAAGTAGTAATTAGCTTCATTGACACGTTCTATGTCTCCTTATTTCATAGTTTTTTTTCTATTTATATGTACACGGTTTTTTACGTTGTGCTCCTTATAAAATTGTGTAATATTTTTAATTGCTAAAATCATAGAAACTACTAATTTCAATTTGTAAAAACTTATATCGTGATCTAAAGCCTCTAATTGCAAAATCCAATTTTAGGTCAAGCAAATAAGTGGATTAAGAATATGGAAAGAGAGAATAAACTCTCCGTGGTTAAGTTAACGGACAGCAATTACTTGCGTCTGCTGGAAAATGCGATTCAGTTCGGTACGCCAATACTCCTTGAGAACGTTGGAGAGGAGCTTGATCCGGTACTTGAGCCAGTGCTGCAGCGGATGGTCTTCAAAATGAATGGCATTGATCACATTCGCCTAGGTGATAGCGTAATTGAATACAACAAAAACTTCCGCCTCTATATAACTACACGTCTCCGTAATCCGCACTATCTACCAGAGGTCTCCGTTAAAGTTTGCTTACTAAACTTTATGATCACACCACAGGGCCTTAGTGACCAGCTTTTAGGCATTGTAGCCGCAAAGGAAAAGCCAGAATTGGAGGCTACCAAGAACCAGTTGATCGTGGAGAGTGCCGAAAATAAGCGTCAGCTGAAGGAGCTTGAAGACAAAATATTAGAAGTTTTGAGCGCTGCACAGGGAAATATATTGGAAAATGAGACAGCCATAACTATTTTAAGTTCTTCAAAGCAGTTGAGTGAGGTCATCACGGAGAAGCAGGCTGTAGCCGAGTATACACAAGTAGAAATCGACGCCACTAGAAATGGTTATACACCAGTGGCTGAACATGGCTCCATACTATTCTTTTGCATCAGTGATCTGGCTAATATTGATCCAATGTACCAATATTCTCTGATCTGGTTCATAAATCTTTTCCTAAATGTAAGTTACCCATTGAATCATATATTCTCGCAAATATCAAACACAAAATCACAAAAATGATTTGACCTCGTTTAAGCATATTGGCTGTGTTCTTAGAGTGACCATAACGAATGTATCTTGCCTATCATCCTCGGTCATGTTAGCCATCACGTGATGGTTTAGAGTAGCGTTCATATATAGCCTTCAAAGTTAATTGTGGTCTTGAGTGTTCCTTTTTTTATATATTGCTTCCAGATAAGATAGGCAAAATCTGCTCTGTATACCTTCTTAAATTCTATTAATGAGGCAATATAAATTATATTTTCATTCATGTTCTTAAGGCTAATTCGACAGATAATATCATATTATTAGATCGGTAATATGTTTATTATTTAATAAGGTGCTTAATCTTTAACTTTATTGCACCAGAAACAGTATAAATAGGCGATGCTCTTAAATATAATCCTTATTTTTTCAATATTTTTATAGTAATGCTGTATCAAGCTGATCCTTTTATATAGGTTTACCCTAGTATAAATAATTGTCTTCTCCTTTTCGTCAGCTGCTCATTAATCATAATAAGACAATGATACGCATTATAAAGACTGAAAAAGTGTCACGAAAATTTTAATTAATTATCAAATTCAAAGTAACTGACAAACTTATTCTTAATTTATTCATTTGAGATTATTGAATTACCTAAATATGTATGACTTTGTTATATATTGTCATATATGGAGTGGCACATATTTTAGATTGATCATGTTCCTTAAAATATCTTGTGAGAATCGAATGGATTCAAAATGAAACCAGAAGCTGAAGTGTTACGTACATGAAAAGAAGCTGGTTTTATAATTATCTCGTAATCAATCCATGCTGATATACCTCTCATGTCGCCTGAAATAAAGTGTTGAAGGGATTAGTAAACTGGCCTTACCGGAAACGGAAGGATGATTGCCTTGGTTTGGTGATTGCTTGACGATCTCGGCTCACCATACTACTACACTGATGAATCTTTACTCAGCTTTTAGGGGTTATGTGATAAAGATCATCAAAACCAACAACTATCATTAACGAAAATTAATCAAAAATAATAAATTCGGTAGGACATAACGGGAAAAATCATACATGTGGTCATTAGTATCGCAGAACGGTGAGCCATGGTCCTGTTGGCACAACCAAGTAGTCACGATGACAAGGTAGTCCCCCTTCAGAGTCCGCTGAGGCCAATTTATGAATCCCTTCTCTCAGGAATTTCTATGTTAATTAAAGGCAAGTCAGCATGAAATGCCACAAATACTAATAAAATTAATTATATTGATATGGTTTAATAGTAGATCTATAGTTATAATATCCTTTTTACTGTATTTCAGTCTATTGCAAACAGTGAGCGATCTGACGATCTCGAGGAGCGTATTTCAATTCTCAATGACCACTTTACCAGAAGCATATATCAAAATGTTTGCCGATCACTCTTTGAATCACATAAGCTGCTTTTTTCCCTCGTAATGTGCATCTCACTGATGAGAAGCAGGCAAGCTCTATAAATGCAAATTTTAGGGAATTCATAAATAACTTATTTTCTATATCTTATCAGCCAACCTTAAAATTTATATAATTAAAATAAATTTGGAATTTAGAAAAAATACTTCATTACAACTTGTTAAGGTTTTAAGCATAAAGCAAACAACCAACTTTCAGCAATCATAATGTTACACACAGGTTACCTGTTAGATTAACTGTTACCGCTATTTGGAAGATTGGATAGTTTTTTTTGCCTACTACTAACTAGAGTAACCCAAAATATTTAGTAACGCTGTCTAAATATTTAGTTAGGCTACATGCTAAATAACATTGTTTTTTACACCTAGTATACAGGTAAATTGCAAATTTTCTAGCACAATATAACTTTTTAGCCTAAAAGTTGGCGCTTAGCTTTACATTTAGGATAGCCAATGAAATATAATTGTGTAACAACAGTTAAAGACTAAGCAAGAGATTATCACTATAATCTGACTCTGCTCACTACTCATGAATTTGTGATTGTAGTAGATACTCATAATTCCTCAGTGAAGAAACTAAAAAAATAAAATTATATAGGCTCAACAATGATCGATGTAATCATATTTAATTGCTAAAGTAAATGCAATTTTAAAATTCACCCATATCTTAACCTATATTTTATTACTTTCGGATGTATTAGAGGAAAAATAGATGAGTCTTCTTGGCGTTTCCTATTAACGGGTGGCGTTGCACTTGAAAACCCTCATTCTAACCCAGCTCCTAATTGGCTTTCCGATAAAAGCTGGTCAGAAATTGTACGTGCATCAGAACTAACTCAGTTAGATGGTCTTTATCAAGGTAAGACTTGCTGTTATTCATTTTTGTATTGGCATAATTTATGGAAAGTAAAATATTATTTCAAATTTATTTTGCTTCTTATGGTTTGCTTTTATTTATTTTACATATTTATAATTCAAGTAAATTTCCCTATTTATTTTACATTTTAGTAAGATCTTGTTATATATAAGGTTATTTATTTTCATTTAATATGAATTTATATGTGCAGCAATAGTCAGTTCAGTTATATAAATAAATAATGATGTGAGCAAAGAAATTATATAGATTACGATGATAAGCTCTAAAACTTTGGTCTAAATAATTAAGAATTTAAATTTATTGCTAATTTCATACAGTCGTATTTGAGAAGGGTTTCGAGACTACCAGTAAATCAGTGTAATGAAATGTATTCACCCTATTTCGTGTAAGGTGAT